CATATTATGGAATAACTAAAAACCCAGTTACATACGATTACTTGATAATGACTTATGCATTCTATGGTGAAGTTCACAAATATAAAGTGAACTCAAAGATGGAATCAAATACTCATCATCATTGTAATGAATGTGACCATTGTAAATGGAATCATTACTGCGATGAGTGTTTAGTTCACAATACTCATGATTGTAGTAAATGTTACGAATGTCAAAATAATTATCGTTCCTGCGATGACTGTCTCAAATATCACAAACGAATTTATGATGATGAATTGTCGAGCGGAGATAAAGATATCGACAATCTAATAAAAGAATGCAACAAAATAAAAAAAACAAAGTATTCGAATGGATACCTTTTGAAAGATTTACCAACGTTAAATATCTTGCAAAAGGAGGTTTTGGGTCAAATTTATAAAGCAACCTGGTTGGATGGACCAATATATCGTTACGATAAATACAGTCACATATGGATTCATGAAGAAAATAAATTTGCACGATATGGAGAAAGTACAATTGTGTTGAAATCATTACACAATTCAATGCAAATTACTCAAGAGTTTATAAACGAGGTAAAAAAATGAACATTTTTTAAAGTGAGCGTTGTTGTTTTCTAATACATTTCAAATTTTCAAAATAGATTCAGATTGGTCTTAAATGCTATACTGGTGTTCGTTATGAGATTGAATATTATGGAATAACTAAAAACCTGAATACTCGATGTAATGACTTATGCAAAGCATGGCGATCTTCGCAGATATATTAATTCCAAAGAATTGAATTTGAAACAAAAATTCAATTACATATATCAAATAATTAATGACCTCAGAAACATTCACGAAGAAAGGTTTATACATCGTGACTTTCACCTTGGAAATATATTGTTTTTTAGTTCTCCTCAAATTGCTGACTTTGGACTTACCACTCCAACAGATCTAAAAAAATCAAATCAAAAAATTGTGGCGTACTTCCTTATATGAGTCCAGAGGTGCTAAATGGAAAGCCATACACTACCGCTGCAGACATTTATAGTCTTGGTATGGTTATTTACGAAATTGCAACGGAAGAGCGACCATTCGGTGAACGAAGTCATGATATACATCTTGTAACAGACATCTATAAAGGAGTACGACCTACGATACCAAATAATGTCCCCGGATGGTGCAACTTTATTATTGAAAAATGTTGGGATCCTATTCCAGAAAATAGACCAACTGCTGAGGAACTTAAAGGCTTTATCGGATCTATCAACACTCCATCGAAATTACCGAAAACAAAACCGAAATTTAATACTTTGCATTTTCAGTACTACAGTTCTTTAGAATATCCTAAAACAGATGAAGAAATTAAAGAGTGTGTTAAATTAGAAAAGCAGAAATTAGATGGGTTTAAACTGCAAAAAAGCATTCCTACAAATAGAAACAAAAAACAACCAATCCATTCAAATGCAATTTACACGAGTCGAATATTTACTTCGAAATTAATATCAATCCCAACTGATACAGGTGCGCACATTTATTTTGATATCGATATTCAATCAAAAACATTTCAGTTTGATTTAAATATATAAAATATTTAGGTTCTACAAGCGTTAATTTGTATGTTCCAAATGAAGGTAAAATTACGTTATTTTTCAAGCAACGTTAACATCGTTATACTAAAAGCACTTGTTTATACAAAATTCTAGCATATGTTACTAACGAACATGATATTGATATAAATGAAGGTAAAATTTATTAATGATTATAAGGATTATTTGTTTTATTTTACAATGTCAATCTCACAAGAAGACACTGGAAAGTTAAATTTAGTCCAAAAAAGTTATCCATACAATGTAAGTATTTTTCATTAACAATAACGCTTTAAAATACTAACTAGATTTCAAAGATTATAAAACGAACAACAAGTCCTAATGAAAATGTGTCGAAAAAGTCAAATAAACGGGGAAAGTTTTCATTTTCGTTGAATCCAGACGACGATAGTCGAGGTATATTTAACGTTAAGTTATAATTTTGTTAATTTAATTCATTACCATTTTTTTAATGATTTAAACACAACAAATATAGATAAAGTTAAAGAGAATGCGAATGACTTACAAGAAGAACTACAAATTCATGATTGTGGTAAATGCACTCGTTGTGAAGCAAACGGTCGTTGCAATGAATGTTTTGAATATCACTACCAACTTTATAAAGCTGAACTATCAAGCGAAAACAATGATATCGACCGTCTAATAAAAGAATGCATGAAAATCAGAAGGCATTTCCAATGGGATCCCTTTTGAAAAATTTGCTAATGTTGAGTATCTTGCAAACAGCATTTATAAAACATCATTATACTCTTACAAGTGGAATCATAAAGAAAATAAATTTAAACGACGTAATGATGATATACGCAAAGTTGTGTTGAAATCACGCGGCATAAAGAAAATTATAAAAGAGGTACTTTGTATTGTACAATTTTTAATGTGCAAATATGACTTTTTAATATAATTAAACTATTCAATAGGTTCGGACTTCTCTAAAGTATAGTGATCTTTACTTTGGAATAAATTATTATGGAATAACTAAAAACCCAATTACAGATGAATACTCGATAGTAATGGAAAAATACAAAATAGATTATGTCGAATTTGACATTCGTGAATATATTAGTTCATACTATGAAGGATTGACTTGGGGAAAAAAATTAGGATACTTACAGTATATTATCTATGCTTTGGTACAAATTCACGAAAACGAACTTGTGGATAGTGATTTTCACCCTGGAAATATGTTATTACATATTGACGCTTTTATTGCCAATTTTGGACTTACCGACCCAGCAGACAAAAAATCAAGAAATTCACGGAATACTTATATGAGTCCAGAGGTGCTAAATGGAAAGGCATATACTAAGGCTGCTGATATTTATAGTTTTGGTATGGTTATTTACGAGATTGTAACTGGTGAACGACCATTTAGTGAACGAAGTCATGATATACATCTAGTATTAAACATCTATAAAGGAGTACGACCTACGATACCAAATAATGTCCCCGGATGGTGCAATTTTATTATTCAAAAATGTTGGGATCCTATTCCAGAAAATAGACCAACTGCTGAAGAACTTGAAGGCTTTATCGGATCTATCAACGCTCCATCGAAAACATCGAAAATAAAATTGAAATTAAATACTTTACATTTTCAATACTACAGTTCTTTAGAATATCCTAAAACAGATGAAGAAATTAGTGAGTGTGTTGAATTAGAAAATCAGAAATTAGATGGGTTTAAACTGCAAAAAAGCATTCCTACAAATAGAAACAAAAAACAACCAATCCATTCAAATGCAATTTACACGAGTCGAATATTTACTTCGAAATTAATATCAATCCCAACTGATACAGGTACGCACATTTATTTTGATATTCAATCAAAAACATTTCAGATTGATTTAAATATATAAAATATTTAGGTTCTACAAGTGTTAATTTGTATGTTCCGAATGAAGGTATGTATTGTTATATACAACATGTTATTTTTATTAAACATGTTTACACGTGACTCTAGAATCTACAGAATATGATATAGACATCGATACCACATCTAAAAGTATGAGTTTATATGTTCAAAACGAAGCAAATAAAGGTAAGTCACTATTAATTGATTTTAATTTTCGTTTATGTTTCTTTAACGACGACTATTTTTAAAAAACTAAATTTCAAAGATCATAAAACGAATAATAAACGTCCTATTGAAAACGAGTCGGAAGAATCAAATAAACGGGGAAAATTTCCATTTTTATTGAATTAGTAATAATTCAACTAGATTTTATCATTCATATTTTTTATTTAACATAAATTATATATTACATGTAATTAATTATAAAACTTCGTTATTTAGATATAAAATTAAAAAAGATATTTTATTTGTAATGAAATTGTAATTATCAATGAATTTATAATATCTGAATTTATAAAAGGAAAAATTTATTACATGTATCTAATATTTCTCATATTTTATTTCTGAACAACAAATCAATATATTTCCAGGATGAAATTCACGATTTAAAAACTTTTCTTCGTGAATTTTTTCAAGTTAGTATACATGTAATAAGAGGATTGTGACCATTTCAGATATACACCCCCTGCCAAAAGTATCCGTCACTTTTGATGATCGGCATTATTTCGAAAATTTTATCAAACATTCAAATTAAATTTGTTCAGAAACTGTATTAATAACTTTTAATGAAATTTATATTTTTGAAATCCTCTTGTTATGAACTTTTTATTTATAGCATCAATACATTGTGGGATTTCCTCCACTATTAATTACAGCCTCAACTCTTCGAGGCATGTTATTTACTAAATTTTCTAAAACACTTTCCTCAATTTTCAACCACTCCTCCTCCAAAACAGAAGCTAATTCTCTCTTATTTTTTGGTATGGGTTTGTGTTCATGCAATTTTCTTCCAAGATGATCCCACAAATGCTCAATTGGATTGAGATCTGGGCTCTGAGCAGGCCATGGAAGAGAAGATATCAAATTTTCATCTTTCCAAAGTTAGCCCTATGGACAGGAGCATTATCATCTTGAAAGACATAATTTTTTTCATCATCTAGGCTTTCAATAAAAGGGACTAAATGATCTTCTAAAAGTTTTTTATAGACTTGGCCTGTAATATTACCTTCTAATACTACTAAAGGTCCAAGTTGATTTTTAACAAAACAGCACCAGACCATTACCCCTTCTCCATTACTCTTTACCATAGGCACTAGACAGTCTATATCATATTTCTCATGAGGTCTACGCCAAACCCATTGCTGACCATCATTTTCAAATAAAAGAAACTGAGATTCATCACTCCAAATGATTGTATCCCATTGTTTATCCCAACCTTTACATTCACGACACCATTTTAAGCATTTTATTCTGTTATTCTCAGAAATGAAGGGCTTTCTCTTCTCAATACGGCCAAAAAAGTTATGGTTATGAAGCACACGTTTAGCAGTATGAGTACTAATCTGAGTAAGATCTAAGCTGTTAAACAGCTCAGTAATCTCTTCAAGCAATTCTTTCCTATTATCTTTGATTACTCATACAAGAGTTTGCTCTTCACGGTCAGTCAAAAGAGGTGGTCTTTCTGTACGAGAAAGAGAGTTGGTCACCCTATCATTTTCAAATTTGTTAATGATATCAATGCAAGTAGTTCTGGGTATTCCGAGTATTTTTTGAATGTCTGTAGCATTGTGCTTGCCCTTGTGAAGTCCGATAATCATTCCACGTTCAAAATCTGAGCATTCACGAGACTTAGGCATTTTTTATAAAATCTAGTAAAGAAAACTACAAAGTGAGTTTATAATTTTTGGAAGCTACGGTCTTTATCTGCCCGGGAAAAAAAAGCACTTGAAATTAAGTTAGATGTAAGGTGAGATATCCCATGTTGAATGTAGGCTACGGGGCAGAATTTTATTTGCTGATCACAAAGTGACGAATACTTTTGGCAGGGGGGTGTAGATCACGTGAAAATAATTTATAAGAATTCGTCTTATCTAGAAGATCTCTTCAGATCCGCGATGTTTACGTTTGAACGTGTTTATTCAAATTTCTTCAAATTAACATTAAGCTACTTTGTTTTAACTTGGGAAGTTTTTATTTAACGTTTACGAGTCGAGAAAACTCACCAAAATCACTTATGACGTCCGTATATAACGACATTACAAAAGATAATCTCCATTTACAGCTCCACGTCATTAAAGACAGTCTAATTCAGGCAAGCTTTCTTGCAATTGACACGGAGTTCACTGGTTTAGGATTCGACAAGATGGTCTTCATGCTTCGTGAGTAGTCGTTCTTTTTATTATTGTAGTTTTATGTAACAACTCTTTAACGACAGCTCTTTTATTCATACATAGAAATCTCGACAAACGATATGAAAATTTGCGCAATTCAGTTAAAAATCATGTGTTATTATTGTTAGGAATGCACACAAGTTGCATCACATTTGAACAACGCTACTGTGTTCACAACTTCAACTTCACTTTGTTTTGTCGAGTAAGTCATCATTCCAGTGTTGAATCAGTGCACGCACTTGTTAATTTGTTAATGATGCCAATGAAGGTTTTACAGCATGAATACAAAATGACACCAAAAAGCCTTGAATTTTTATTTCAATAAGCAGATTCGTCATGGTATACCATACTATCCAGGAAATGACTCGGTAATCAATTTAAGCAATATATCCAAGATGCTTTCAATCGAATAATGGTATTCACAAGATTTTAATCTTGCTTAGCCACGCCAAACCGGAAGATCATAGCTCAATAATGCGTGCTATAGTTGCTCATATTTTTACGTTGAATGTACCGACCATGGCTTGATGGATTTACTTTATCTCTATTATTCGTCTTACGCCGACCTTCCGGAAAAAATAAATAGTTTTATCGCTGCTGGAATAAATATCTGGCTGACTACGTGACACGAGAAAATGTCTCATTCCGCGCTTATCTGTTGTTTCTATGTTGCTTTTGATTCTATAATAACATGAAAATTTTCTAAGATATGAAAGAGAACAGAAAGAGCAGAAACATCAAGGAATTAAAAGACATGTGACAACAATAGTACAAGTTCGTTTACCTCCAGCAAAGCTACTGAGAGAAAAAGAAGCAGCAGCAGCGTCATCATCAGATTATATCAATTCAACTAAAAATGGGAAGGAAAAAATAGCTCTGAACCCTATTATAAACAATATGCGGTAAGTTTGGTATTAAATATTTCTTTATTGAAGATATTAATGAAGTATCCAATTTTTAATATCATGGATTTAATGCAACAGATAAATGTATTTATAAAAACGCACGATCTTCATCGCCTCCACCACAATCATTATCTCCACCATCATCGTCGTCGACATCATATCACAATGCTTTTTTTGATGCCTAATGATTGGATTTATCTTTGCTCGACATTTAGTTCACTCGAAAGAAGACATAAATATTCATAAAAACAAACTTTATCTCACGGGTAAAAACATACCATTATTAGTGGAAAAAGTAAGTGTGCGAAGATGGTATTTTCGTGCGATTCTAATCACTGCGTGATGAGATATCGTGTAGATAAAGGGATTATTATTATACCCTCTTAAATTAATCTTATAAAGGACTTTTAATATAATAATAGTTTTTTTGTTATTATAAAATGAGTTAGCGTTAGAGCCTGTATAAATTAACACTAATGAAAACTGTCAACTTCGCTTTATCTTACTCCCCGATATTTTTTATTAATATTTCTTCCGGGTTGTTCACAAATTTGCGCACCCTATCACATGACTCATAACGCTTTATCGCGTTCACAGGGTGGATAATGAAGCCAGAAATCACGTACCGTTTCAATTTTTTGCTTAGCAATACCGTTGCAATAATTGCTTAGTAATGCTTATCATATATCGATATAAAGATAAACGTAAACTATATCTTATGTATTTATCCGAACACCAAATAATATAAAATATGAATAATATGAATACAAAAATTCAATATTTATATTACTTTTACTCTTTCCTTCCTTCCTTTTCTTTAATAGTTTAAGATACTATTCAAAATACTTTTCATATTTCATTTAGTCTGTCACTGGTATCGTATTATAAATATCGTCAATATTAGTTCCCGGTATCTCATCAGACACCCTGTGTCGATGGTTAAAGCAAGGAAAGTTTACAGCTAAAAACGTCTCCTGGTACTCATCTTTACAACATATCTTCTATTTTTCCAGAGTTGACTTCACAATATGTCGATAACAACGCCGCCGCCGCCACCACCACCACCAAAAAAGGGTTCCTCTATGCTCGGGTCTCTAGTGTCAAACAAAAAGAGGATCTTGAACGACAGAAACAACTCCTCAGCTCCTGATTTCCAACCTACGAACTCATCAGCGATATTGGATCGGGTGTCAACTTCAAACGACCAGGACTTAAGACCTTATTGGAACAGACAAGTCGCGGAATGGTCTCAGAAATTGTGGTTATCCATCGTGACCGACTCTGCCGCTTCGCATCCAGTATATACTCTCCTTCCATACTACAAAACTCATGGTTCTCTTCGACGATACGACCTCCAATAAACATGCACTTTCCCAAGATATCCTTGCAATCAACACAGTCTTTATCTGCCGAATGCAAGAAGAGTTATTCACCGACGAGAACGCCAGGCTAGGGAAAAAGCGCAAGACAAAGATCAGGACAACATCAGTGCGCAACAAGCGACAAAGCTTGGAAACCACTCTCAATCGTACACTGCTAATTAAAGTGTATCCAAATCACTCTCAAAAGCAGCTATTGAAACGTTGGATGGGCTTGACGAGATATGCTTATAATGCAGTTGTTCGCTGGAGTCGATACCGCCGTTTCTATACCAAGAATTCACATATTGGTCCATCACAACGCGTTTGGGTAAACCTCAACCTATTAAAGATAAACTTAAACTTTATGCAGATGACATGTAGGAAAAGATGTTAATGAACATGAGGACAAGAAACTTCAAAATCATGTGTATGGGGTGAACGCAAATTCGTACGAACTATTGTGCGTATTGGAATGCTGCTTCAAGGTACATATGGCATAGCACTTGCAAATATTATCGATGAGGCAATTGATGAAGCATTGACAGCTAGGTATGATTATCATTTTTGATTTTTTAAAATTTTTTTCAGATTTTTTTAATTTTAGGGATAAGATAATTAACCATAATATAGGATCAAACACGAATCAACGAGATTCATCTTTATCATTTTGATCTCGAAAAGATTTGCATTTCATGGATTTATGAGATGCAAAAACAGCTCCGCGAAACCCGAGTGGATGGTTCTGTTCATGCAGTTTCCATTGATCCTGGCATTTGTACACCTTTCAGATGGTACTCTCCTACTAAAAATATAGGTAAAATTGGCCAATATGACATTGGACGAGTTATTCGTTTATGTAAATATATGGATAAACTTCATTCTATAAGGGACAAGCTGGCTGCCTCTAATTCAAAACGTAAAAAATAAAAGTTTTTGCGACTTGATAATGCAATTTCTCGGATGATACGAAAAATCAAACATCTGTAAAGTGAAATTCATAAAAAGAGTGTTGCAATTTTTACTCACAAATTTGATGCCATTATCATTAGATATCAAATATGGTAAATCGAAAAACAAGAAATACTGTAAAAATGCGTTGTTGGGCTCAGTATCAATTTCGTCGACGTCTGGTAGCTAAAGCTGAAGAATTAGGGGGTCCATGTTATTATCCAAAATGAGGCCTATACTTCAAAAACTTGCTGCTGGTGTGGGAGTGTTCAAAAAATAGGAGGATTTGAGATGTACAAGTGCCGAAGTTTTGGGGCTGTAATGGATCGAGATGAAAATGGTGCTCGGGGAATTTTTCTCCGGGCTTTGCTTGATGGAGCCTTGATTCTTTCCGGAGATCATGCAGTAATGCTTAGTATTACCTATTATTGATCCATCCGTAAATTGAAGTTTAAATTTCTTGGATTTATTACAGGGTGTACTATGCGCCGCTATTTACGGTACTCGTGAAATAACGCCAACCTAACTAAATATTTACTCTCAATATCATGGAGGCAATAGTTTTAACCCTTTTCAAAATCTCACAATACATGTGCATGTACATGTATATTGGATATCATAAAAAATCACGTGAAGAATAGTACATGTACTAGTTGTCATTAACATTTATAATTCATTACGTATTTGATAATTAGCTTGTGTCAGTATTAGAAATAATCTTATATGTGATACTTGCGTAATTAATTAACCTGATTTCTTTGACATGTAAGTCGTAATTATGTTATGTTAATATTTTTTTCATTATACATGTATTCGGGAACTTCTGTTTGGTGATTAGTAACAATAGTAAAATTGCTTGTGAGAGAGATGGAGTACGTAGTAATAATACTTTATCATGGCAGTGAAAAGAAAAAAATCATAGAAGGAAAATTTGTAAGATGTGTGAATGAGAATTTGTCGTACATGTATTACGTACTCCTTATCGTTATTGAATGATTTTTTTAATTAGACTGACTTTAAATTCCCGTACTAGTACAAGTATTATTGTTATGTGATGACCCCCAAATTGAGCATTACCTGTATAATTAAAATCTATACAATGGAATTTAGAAGCATTAGAATATGCATGTATGGGTCAAATTTCGTTATAGACATTTTTACGGTATCTAATCCTGCATTGGCATGAAGGAAAATGTATCATGTTTTGATTTTTTAAGAGCTACTCTAAAGATTAATCTTTTTGTTAAAAAACTAACCATCATTGCTTTCCGTGCGGACTGTATTATCTACAAATTCTGTGCTCAATAAAATGAATATTATAAGATAGAGATTTGGTTTTTTTTATCAGTTATGCATATATATATATATATATTTGCTGAAATGATTGATAAATAACGATAATATGTTAACAAAATATTATACATGCCATAATAATGTTGATATATACAGAGTATGATACATATTTGATAAATATAAATTCTAATATAATACAAAAATTTAAAGTCTCAATTTAATAAAAAAATCGACTTTAGATCTCTCTTAACATCAAGTTGTCCCGTTTTCACAACACTATGATAAACTTTCAATGCCTCGTGTACGTCTTTCTTAATGCCAATCCCACTTGAATAGAAATCAGCGATCAGACAATTCGCTAATGTCTTATTATTGTTTTTATCAATCGCAGCTGCTTTATTGCACCAATAAAAAGCTTTAACTTCATTTTTCAGTGTTCCGTCACCGCGACGAAGACACTCGCCTAATCTCACCATCCCTTCAATATTTCCCATATTTACAGATCGTTCAAACCAAGCGACCGCTTTTTTCTTATTTACGTCGATGCCAATACCGTCGCGAAAACAATCTCCAACTGAAACTGCGGCGAAATCGTTTCCGTTGTTTGCTGATTTCTGGTACCAATTAAATGCTCCTCTCTCATTTTTTGCCGTTCCGAAGCCTTTTAAGAAACAGTTTGCTAGCAGTAATTGTGCTTCTGGGTTTCCGCGAACTGCTGAAGCTTTGTACCATAAAAATGCCTTTCGTTCGTTTCCTCGTACACCGATTCCATCCCTATAACAGTCCCCGAGGTATAATTGACCGTATGAGTATCCAGCTTTTGCCGATTTTTTGTACCAGTAGTATGTATTCTTTTGTGATACTTTTGTCCCGTCACCTCGTCGATAACAAGTAGCAAGATTTGATTGACCCACCGCGTATCCGTTTTCTGCCGATTTAGCGTACCATTTAAATGCCAATTCTTTATTTACACCGGTTCCTAAACCCATGCTGTAACAGTATCCCATTTGATTTTGAGCTAATGCGTCGTCGTTAGAATTTTCTGCCGCTAATGAACTATAATAAAATGATTTCTCGTAATTTATTTCTGTTCCTATTCCCCACATATGTAGAAAAGCTAAGAGAGAAGCATATTTTGTGTTTTGCGCTTGTGTGTTTGCTAGTTCGAAAAGCCTGTTTATGGCAATGTTATGTGATTTTGTAAAAGTTTTTATTTGGTCTTGGATTATTTGTTCTGAAGAAAAACGATAATTCGCATTTATGAATAAAGCGTCAAGTTTTTCTAAAATTAAAAGATTGTTATTCTTTGATGGATGTGGTTTTTTGTTGCGAAAAAAAGGGAATTTCAAATGAGCACTTAAAAAAGGCTTTATCTTGAGAATTTGTTTCTTTAGTTGCATCATGAATTCATGGTCGTTTGATATATTGAACTCAATGAACATCATCTTAGTATTTTGTTTTAGCAAACAATAAAGCAAAAAGTAGCAATTCTTTTGATAAGATTTAACGTTAACGTTAAATATTGAATAAATGCCTACTTGAACCTGTATTACCGTTGCACATTTTTAAGCGTCATCTGATCTACGATATAACTCCTGTTAATAACGATAACGATAAGGGGAAATTAATCTATGATTGAATGAAAAGGAGAAAACATGTTATTCCATTACACGAAATATTATTAACGTAATTACAAATTGATGTTAATAATAAATATTTCCTCCCTAAAGCAAGTTTTGTAACTAAGAAACATGTTTTTTTTTCATTGAAATGCTTTTTAAAATGTTGCCATTTTTATTTAATAATTTATTCTAATACAAGGTTTTATAATAATACTATAATAATCAAATTAATAATAAATGTTTTGTTAAAATAAATTTCAAATACAAATTGTTGTCGCCTGTAACATTACAGTACATGCATACAATTTTTGATTTTTTCCACACACGCAATGTGATAAAAGAAATACTTAAATATTCAATTGAACTCAAAATTAAATATAATTTTGTGAAATCATTAAAGAATAATTCTTTTTCAGAAAAATCATTGGATTTAATTCGCAGGTATAAAATCGAAATTCTTTAATTTTGCAGAAAATTTTTTTGTTAACTATTTGTAGCAACGATATTTTATCACTTGATGAATTTTGTTCTTTGAAAATTTTCAAATGACCAAATAAATAATCAACATAATCAATATTATTACTTACATTATTGAATTATTCACTATTCTGAAAGTGCGTATTTTCTTTTAGTAATGCCATATATTCAAATACAAATAATATTTTCTATCAAAAAAATAAGTTACTTTATTTTTCATCGCTTTATTCTTTCTTTTGAGAAGTCAGATTATATTTTTTTTAAGCTTTACAAATTGATCATTATCAAAGTATCAAAGATGTAATTACAATTTTTATTTACTAGAATTCAAGTTTTTATATCAGATTTGCATTAAAATAATAATATATTGACTTAAAAAGCTTAGATTAAAATTGATAAATTATTATAAAATTTATTAAAGTTCTTAATAAATAAAAGTTTCAAGAGTTAAAATATATCAATTAATTTTAAAAAAATCATTAAAAAATCAATTTTCTCAACTTTAGATAAATATAAATTTTACAAAATATTATTAATGAATTTTATAAAAAGTTTATGCCAAATATTATTATTATTGTTATTAAAAAATTGATTATTTATAAAAAAAATTCTATATATTCTTATATTTATAGTTATTTAATTACTAAATTAATAGATTATTTTTAAATTAACTTTAATATTTAATTATTTAATAATAAACAATAAATTAATAATAAATTGATCAAATATTTTTATTTAATTTTTTTAAAAATTTTTTAAAAAAGTTTTAGTTTGACTGGAAATACTTGGAAAAATAATATTAAATAAAAATAATTAAGAATTACAGATTTATTTTAAATTTGAAATTTGTCATTTTAATAAATTTTAATTATTTTAAAAATTATTAATATATAATGATAGCTAAAATAATGTATTAGAAGATTGATTTATTAATAAATATAATAAAAATTGAAAATTCTCTTTATATTAAATTTTATAATTTTATTAAAATTAATTTTTATTTTTATCTTATAATAAGTTCATAAGTTATAGTTTAACATATATTTTTTTCAGATTTTTTTGAAAGAGTTATTCTAATTGTAAATTTATTACAAAATTTTTAAAATATTTTTCTAATTAAATTTCATTTTTACTTAGAAAAACTTTGTAGTAGAATAACTTTTTCAAAAAAAAATATATTTAAATTATAACTTATAAACCTTATTTTGATATAAAAATAAAAATTACTCTTAATAAAATTATAAAGTTTAATATAGAAAAAATTTTAATTATTATAATTTTTATTATATTTTATTAATAAAATTAATCTTCTAATACATTATCTTTGGTATTATCATTACTGTATATAATTAAAATTAAGAGAAATATTTTTACTATCTAATTTTTTATAGTATATAAATCAAATAACTCATATATTAATATTTATATATATAATATTATTATATAAGTACAGTCAAATCTCTCTATATTTACCACACTTGGAAAAGCAAATTGGATGACTATAGAAAGGTTTTTTTAATTAAAGTTAATTAGTAAACTGGAAAACTCAAAAAAATGAATACAAAAAAATATAACTATAGAGATTGGCTATAAAGAGATTTGGCTGTATTATAGGACAATACTAATTATGTTTAAGTTTTGTTACTCATTATTTATAAAAGTAGAGGATCAAGAAACTTAAGTACACCAGCCATGGCGAAAAAATGTCAATATCATATGATTTTTAAGGGTAAACCAATCAAATCGTAAGAGAAAAAGTGAAAAATAGCGAAATTTTACCTATGGAACTGCTTCAGGATTCTAACAAAAAAAGTTCCTTGCGAAAATTTAATATAGGTAGTATCTTTCGCACGGTATAATCTTAACTACGACCTTATCCTAAACCTAGTTCTAACCGAAATGTTATTAATATTTAATATTTCATATCTTGAGATCTGATTGGTTTACCCCTTAAAATTCACATGATGCTGAGATTTTTTTCGCTGTGGCTAGGGTACTAGAAACCTAAGAAACTTCGCATCATTCCAGAATATTCAGTAATCACGAGATTTTTAGTTACTTCGGCAATATTAAGATAAACGCAAATGTCGTGTGAACCAAATTACATGTTATCGCGTGCAATTCGTATTATGGTATCGTATCTCCTAATATTGTATCTCCATCATATCGCACCCTCTTCCTTACACGTGCCCCCGATGAGTAGGATGAACAGTAAATATGGTAATATTTATCTCTGTGTAAGTCATTTCTTTTTAACTATGCAATAATAAATTGCATTTATTAGCTGCATTAGCTTAATAAATTATTAATAAACTCGAAATCAGAAAAAATTTATTATATAGAGGTAAGAACTTTTAAGATATTATTAAATAAAGTTTATAGATAAACACAGGACGCAAATTCCTTTGGTATATAAAATTTTGTTTTTATAGAATAATTAAAGTAAATGTTAAATAATGCATTTCATTCCTTGATCTCCTTTTAAACCGCATATTTAATTCTCTTATCAATTCAAAGAACGTGATTTTATATGCAATTAGGTATACATTATAAATGAAAAGTATTTATTTTAAAGCTACCCATATTAAACCATTGTCTTCAAAGTCAATGAACAAAACGTGTGATAATTTGATATTTCCAATACATGAACGTAACTAAGACAGGGTATATCTGTGTAAAGACAAAATTGTAACAAATTTTGGGATAAAATTCTGTGACAATAAGAAAAATCGAATAATTTATTGCCTACAAAATTAAGTTCTTTTCTATAAATTGAAAAATAAAAATTAACAACTTCGTTAATATAAACTTTTAAATACATTGTCTCGAGTACTTTTCTAGTTCTATAAAAGTTCATTTACTTCTCAAATTTCGTGGTTAATTTTGTCCGCTTAACGATGTTTTTCATGTACATTTTTACGCTACCTTCAGAAGATGTGGAACTAGAGAAAATATGGAGTAACACAAAAGGGAATGGAGCTTAGACTAAATGGTTTACGAGAAGAAGGATTCTCTACTGTTCAAAAGGTCTCCTGTGCTAGTTTTTACGAAAACTACAGCGATTCGGATTAATGCACAAAGCAATCTCTACAGTATAGCACAAGCAAATTCAACGACCGGGTTTTATTCAATATCCACAAAACGAAATATGAAACAACTATGGTATTTTTAGAGTGAAGTTCTTCCCCTATCAATCACAAAAAAATAAAAGCCACTTGTACGCAAGCTTTGAAGGTAATCAATAATGATAGTGCATCCGCGAGTAATGAAATTATTACAAGTAAGGAGTTTTTTATTCTTTTATTGATTGGGGCATGCCTTTCTCTAAAGGCCCGTTTTATACAAATATATCAATACTGTATCTATATTACTTATGT